CAACGGCTCTAATATATATATATATTTAAAAAAACACCTTTTATTCTCTGGTTGTTGGATCTAATAAAGTAATTTAATTACTAACACGCATATATATGATTAGTAAATATAGTTTTTACATAACAATATCACTTAACTGGCACAAATTCATGGAGAATTTTAAAAGATTTAAAACTTTGTAAATTATTCTAGTTAAAAATTTTTAAAAATGAAAACAATTCTTGTAAAAATTCATTATTCATCGAAATTTTTTTCTTAAGGCAATAATGTCCATAATGAATCTTCATAAAAACAAATAAAAGCTTTTCTAACTAAATAATGTCCTAGTTTTATTGCATTTTTATTTTACGATTCAGAGCAGATTTTCGGTAACTTCGGGTCCTGTTTCACAAAAAAAAAAAAAAAATCTCCAAGGACTTGTGCATATAACTAATATAAACAAAATTTAATTTCTGGAAATTTCATAAAATTAAATTAGTAGTGGGTAACAGATGTAAAAAATATTTTTACCAAGATTTTCGAAAAACAAACATTTCTAAATTAATTTCATTCATTTGTGAATAAGTACAGAAAGTTTCATTAAAATCCGACAATTTGATTTTTTGCAAGAATTTCCAAATCAATGTTTTTCACCGGAAGAAAGACGCTGAAATGTACTATACTAATCTTTGGTCCCCCAACACATACCACGGACACAAGAAGAATTAACCAAAATTTTGGACGTTCTAAAAAGGATCAAGAAATATAATTTAATGATCAAAAAAAAAATCCTTTGGTCTTTCCTTTTATTAATAACAAGTTTTTGACGATACAATTTCGTTTTTTATTAAGAGGCATTTTTTCATTATGATATGCTCATATTTCAGTGAATCTTTGGAGGTATCTTTAAATCGTTAATATGTTTTCAGCTAAGCTGGTGTGAACATGACCAACCACAACTAATAGTTTATTACGCACTATGGATGCAGTCTTCAGGCAGCCGGTACTAGTCTGCACAATGGCATGGTCATTTATACCCCATCGGCTAATTCAAAATGTTACAATGAGAGTATCTTCGTCTTTTTCTATGCGCCATGTTCCTTCAGGACGTTGGCATTCATGGTTTTCCACAATTTCCTGTCCTTTGTAGCTCTTAATAAATTTTGTCTTTTTGTTATCTCTCCCAAATTTTGTTCCGCTCCACATTTACTCAAGCTCATTCTTCTATGTGCCGTGTCCCTTCAGGACGTAAGCAGTCATGGCTCTCCACAATTTCTTGTCCTTTGTAGCTCTTAATAAATTTTGTTTTTTATCTCTTCTAAATTTCGTTCTGCTATCCATTTACAGAAGCACATTCTTCTATGGTCCGTGTTCCTTCAGGACGTAAGCAGTCATGGCTCTCCACAATTCCCTGTCTTTTGTAGCTCTTAATAAATTTTGTCTTTTTGTCATCTTTCTTAAATATTGTTCCGCTCCCCATTTACTGAAGCTCATTCTTCTACGTGCTGTGTCCCTTCAGGACGTAAGCAGTCATGGCTCTCCACAATTCCCTGTTCTTTGTAGTTCTTAATAAATTTTGTCTTTTTGTTATCTCTCCTAAATTTTGTTCCTTTGTTCATTTACTCAAGCTCGCTAGGTAGGTTATGTTTTTGTTTTCCTCTCTTCCTCTTCAATATGTCCTGTGATTATCAAATTTTCCAAACTCTCTTTACTCAGTATGCGCCATGTTAATTTCAATTGTGACGTTAATTCTGAGTGTCCTTTTTGTTCCTTTTAATAGCGAATACACATAAATGTACTCACCAACTTGAATCATCAAACAGGAAATACCCATACGGATTCGGTAAAGACGAATTTTATTTAAGTTGAATAAACACTTTAAAAACGATAGACACCTGTAAACTCCGCCAAATAAACAAATAGTATTGCTAAATACCATCGGTGTGTAGGTAATATAATAAGTCGTTCGATAATTGTACATTTTTTACATTCTTCTTAGTAAAAGCGTGCCTTATGAATAATCGTCTGATTCAAGCTTAAAGCACGAGTTATGGGCGGAAAACTTCTCACTATTTTCCTGGCCTTTTATCACAGCAAGCTTATTGTCTTCTGTGATAGCCACTTAGTTACACCTGCTTTAGGACTATCAGTTGGCAACGTATTCGGCGCCATGAAGTAAAAATAAAACCATGATCTCAACACAAATGAGATTCTGTAAAATCACATGCACAGGTACAGACTCATGAGCGACACAATGTAGAGGGTTACTGTATAGTGTTGTATGACCGTAAGAAAAGGTAAACAATTAAATGGGATTAGGCAGGAATGATAACGGTTAACTAGTGGCGTATCTAAAAGGGGCAGAGCGGGAGGGGGGCTCCGGGCGGCATTTTTATGTGGGCGACACTTTTGTGCCTGCTTTAGGCTGTAAGCCTGTATAGGCTGTATTGAAATAAAAGTGTTTTTAATGTCAGAAGAGGAGGAGTAATGGATAGTGGCTCGGATTGAAGAATCAGAGAGCCGAGTTCGAATTCCAGCCAGATCCATAACATTCACGTAAGGGAATGTAATGGGAAAAGGTGTGAATCCTCTTCTCCCCCCCCCAACTATGGGTAACTAGCAGGACAGACCGGGTTCTATAGCTTTGGATGGCAACTGGTCTACCGCAGAAAGAAATGGCAACCTACTGCGGAAAAAAATCTGCCTCGTCAGTCATGTATCAAAAGATACATGATCGCCTAAGCGTGTATCACGCATGGCACATGACTGACTGATTTCCAGTTGAATCTATTACATTCACTTACGTGCTAATACCCTTGGGTACCATTGGGAAAATTATGAATCCTTTTCTTCTCCCCCCCCTCCGGCTATGGGTAAATAGCAGAACAAACTGGGTTCTATAGCCTTGAGTGGCAACTGGTCTACCGCAGAAAGAAATGGCAACCTACTGCGGGAAAAAAATCTGCCTCGTCAGTCATGTATCGAAAGATACGTGATCGCCTAAGCATGTATCATGCATGGCACATAACTGACTGATTGATTTTCCAGTCGAATCATTCATCCAGGACAGACTGGGTTCTATAGCCTTGGATAGCAACTGGTCTACTGCAGAAAGAAATGGCAGTCATGTATCGAAAGATACATGATCGCCTAAGCATGTATCAAGCATGGCACATGACTTTAATGTCAGGACAGTGCTTACAGTTAAAGGATCTTTTCAATTTTGAGTAACTTAAATTATGGCCTATACAGCGACAATTGATAGATCAAATAGTATTTGAAGATGTTAAAAGAATTAAAGAATTTGCTAACAAAAAAAGCAAGGAAAGTTACTTTGTAGAAAATTGTAATTTTCATTACAGAAATAAAGATGGTTCTAAGTTTTTACATTTTTTCCCCATATATCGTTTTTGATTTTCACTGTTACTGATAAAGCTTAAGTATTTTTGGTGTGTATCTGCCTCGTCAGTCATTAAAGTATACTGTATTTGAGTATGTGAAAGTAATATTATAATGGTACCCAAACTATTTCTATAATCTTAAGAGTGAGTCACTGTGCAATATATATTTTTGTGGTGGTAATCAAGGGCTGCCATGGGCTGCACACACTCTAGCTATGCCACTCTGGTTACCTCTAAACTTGAAGAGCTCAAGATTATATTGCTTGGGAAAGCATCCTGCTGGGAGTCCGTTCCGCAAAGCAGCATCAGGGAAGAAGCTGTCTGAGTGGAACTTAATTATTTCTAATTGAGTACAAAGAAAATGAGGATGATTCACAGTTGCGTATGTGTCATGACAGATCTCAGTTGTATAGGTCAGAGGTGGTGGGACGAAAAAATGTAGCTCGTCAGAACAGATGCCGTGGGAATAACGATCGAACAGCGTGATGTTTGCGACATTATGTCCGTGGAAAGGGGGTTTAGGGTGGAAAATAATTCATCACCCAAAAGTTCGTATATATGCTTTTGAACTCTGTTAAGACAGGCAAGTGAAGACAGCTCCAGCCCAGATATGACAGCAATACTCCATTTCTGATCTGATCTGACTCGTGTGAAAGTAGAGTATATCAAGAAAAGTCACATACTTATTGGAGAGGTACAATGAACCAATGACTTTTCGAGCATAGGGGAAAGTGTGGGGGTCTGCTTGGTGGTGATGGACTTCATTGACAACAGGCAATATAAGTTTTCTAAAGACAGAAGTATATGTGGCAGAATGGATTATAAGTTGGAAAATCATCACTCACAAGGCCGTGTAGAGACGTTGAGAAAAATCTCTAAGATCAAATTGATTTGCATAATTCCTTTGTAAAATATTGAGTTACAATTTCATTATTTGTGGTATTTACAAGTAAATATGATAGTAAAATTTAGTTATCTACATAAAAGGAAGAATAGTCTGTGCTGTTAGACATGCTAAGAATTCCGAGAAAAAAAAATAGAGGTAGAGCTGAAAGTCAGGATTCCATTCAAGCTATGATAGCAGTTTTAATAGTCCTATGAACTCACTAAAGAAAACAATTACATTGAAGGTGATCAGCTATTGTGCGTGGCCTACAGAAACAGGCAGGATAATCCATATATGTAAATATATGGATTATCCAGCCATACTTTGTGCTGTAAATGTCAGGGATGGGCTGCACTTCTAGCCAACAAGTGGTGTGATCAATGCAAGTGAGGATATATTGATATGAGCTGATGAAATGCTTATTTCTTTTTGATGGTGAGAGTGGTCCTACTATATCTATATGTATATATGAAATCCTGCTAATGATATTTCTAATGTTTGTATCAGTGACTTAGTGTAGTTGCATATTTTTGCTTGTTGACAGCATGCACATTATGCACAAAATTCTTTAATGGATTATGTTGGCTTAAATATTTTAAATGATGATTTGATTCCAGGATGTGATATTGAATGGATACTCTTAAAAATGGATCTACACAACTTACTCAAAACAAAAGATCTGGGGAAAGTCCAAAACAGAGATATTGTAGCAGTTTTTGAAATGTCATCTTGACACATTCTGATCTAGAGGTGGCCTGAAATTAAATCTGTTTTTTAAAAATTGTTGTTTGGTTGGTAGTTTCGGAGAGAGAGAGAGATAGAGAGAGAGATAGAGAGAGAGAGTTAACATTTGGTACAGGATATTGGTCAATTTTCATTATATTAAAAGGTGTGATAATCCCCACAACAACAGTTTTATTTATTTTGATTTACAATAAGATTAAGTAGGATTGTCCTTTTGCGTTCATAAGGGGAGATCATTCTGTTGTTTTGTAGTTGTTTAAATTCAGAATGTGGTGCTTCAAATATTTCAGAAGGAACACAGTTGGATGGTTTCCAGTGTTTATTCTGTGGTAAACACCACAATAGTCTTTGTTGATTTATATATATATATATATATATATGTGTGTGTGTGTGTGTGTGTGTGTGAACATAAATAAATATCCAGGAAATCATCTCACCTGATAAAAAACACCAATAAATTCTACATTCAACACCATCACTTGATAAGACACCAGAAGTATTGAAACAAAATGGCTATTTTTGTAGAGATATACATATTTATGTTATAATTTTGAATAAATTATATATATATATATATATATATATATATATATATATATATATATATATATATATATTATAAATTTGCTAATTTACAAAATATGGTCCCCATTGCTACACAGGAATTACTATGTTTTAAAAACAGAAACTAAAAACTTCAAATTTAATTATAGAATTAAATTAAAATCCTTAGTACTAGCTCATTTTCATGCGATTTTTGGAATAACTTATTTTGAAATTTACTGAGTTCATAGGCACATACATACTTGATATTAGTTACTAAGGTTACGTGAAAATTCAATCATTTTTACAAGGGGTGGTAGGGTATTTATTTTCACTGACAACCTGTGTATCTGCAGAATTGCATTGGGCACTGTTTTCTAAAAATAAAAATAATTAATAAGAACGCCGGATTGTAAATCTTACTGTTCTTTCCCTTTATTTTAAGATATATATATATTATAATTTTTACATACAGACAAAAACAACTTTCTCACTACAAAGATGCATTCTTGTTTCAATGTGGCTGCATCTTGACTATTGAGAACCAAAAATGGTTATGAACAATTCTATTTTCAAGCAATCCGCTTATGGAAAAAAACCATAGGGAGAGACACTTTAAAAGGAAAGAGAGAAGGGTAAATAAAAGGGAGAAAAGAGAAGGAAAGGAAAGAGGGTGACAAAATAAGACAATATTCTTTGTTACTCTTTACTAAATCAGGACACAAATTTATAAACTTCATTAATAAGCATTTCCCTAAGGGTAGTAAATTGTCTTACTCTTAATTATTGCTCTATTCTTGGTACTGAGTCCTGTTTTGAATTAATGCTGTGTATGTTTTTATATTTATATATATATTATATATTTATATTATTTTCATTCTCATTACATTTGGGCATATATATATATATATATATATATATATATATATATATATATATTTTATAGTTATATTCTATTTACATACACACAAATATAAATAAATACATACATAAAATACAAGTAAATGCTCTGTTTATGATAAACAGTATTAACAACATTTATATATATAAACATTCATTATATGGATGGAGAGCGTTGTCGTCAGCAATGACGAACAGCCTAAAAAAACATATATATATATATATATATATATATATATATATATATATTCATTATATACATATATATATACATGTATATATTCATTATATACATATATATTCATTATACATATATTCATATATATATATTCATTATATACATGTACATATACGTATCTATTCATTATATACATATATATTCTTTATACACATATATATGCATACATATATTCACATATATATATTCATTATATACACAAGGATATATATTCATTATATACATATATATTCATTATACACATATTCATATATATATATATTCATTATATACATATGTATGTGTATACATTCATTATATACATATATATAATCATTATACACATATTCATATATATATATTCATTATATACATATATATGTATATATTCATCCTATACATATATATTTATTATACACTTATATATGTCTACATATATTCATATATATATATATATATATATATATATATTCATTATATACATATATGTGTGTATATATTCATTATTTACATATATATATTAAAGCAGGTTTGATAAAATAATTTAGATGTATTATATGTATTTATTTTAGTTTTAATCTTTTCTCGGCAATGTTAGGGTTAAGGTTAGGCTAACCCTAACCCTAATTCTTTCAAGTCCACGAATTAATTTCTTGCTGTGTACAGCAAAACAGACTAGGTCCTATAGCCCTAGGTAGCAAACGATTTCGAAGGAGGAAAACTTTAAATTCAAACCAACCTCAGGTGGGTTGGGCTCTATCAGTTTATCTGGCCTAAAACACACCACCTCTATTACAGGTTTTCCTATGATTTTAATCAGTTACAGGACTCATGATATTCCAGTGCAATATTAACCTTCTTGCTTAATGACTTTCTGCTCTGTGGTACCGACTCCCAAGAGGATATTTCCCTAATCGCTACAATCTTAACCTGTTCAAGGCTAGAGTTAACCATTATCTTCTCCTGTTTCCCCTTGAGTGGCCCACAGGCATTGTACAGGATGAATCTTACTCTAGAAAAAAAAACATAGAATAGAAACACTTGAGTAGATAAACTGCACCTTAAATCCTTCTGAAATATGGCTACTTGTAATATTTATAAATAGGAGCAGTCCATTGTTACAGTAGCAGGGAAGAGCAGGAAGTACTCTGATCCCTACTCTCCCTACTCGGATAAATTAGTCCTTTGCATTCAGCTATTCCAAAAAGTGTGATTGATTCTGCTCAATCCATCACCACTATAATCAAATCCTATGTGTGAAAAGTCTCGCTCTTCAGTTCTAATAAATGAACTGCTGGACCGTTATATATTTAAAAAGACAAAAAAGTTCAGTGTGTCATTAAGAACACATGGCACAGTGGATAAAGGCGTTAGTTAGATCCAGTGACAGGACCCAAAGAGTTGTGAGTTCAATACCTGGTTATGGCAGTGGAGAACTTGGAGAGGTGAATTAACAGGAGATAACTGATAACTGACATCCATTAGACATGGCACGTGGAACTAGAACAGTCTATCCCAGCGAGTGAAAATAAAGGACATTCCAACCACCTGAAGAAGGACGGAGTGTACGACAGCCAAAACATTGTGATAAATATGGCAACAAAGATGAGGACAATAGTCCGAATAATGTAAATAGTTTACATAATACTTCATCTCAGAAATATAGACAGATACTGAAAGGCCGAAACGTTGTAATAAATATGGCAACAAAGATGAGGACAATAGTCCGAATAATGTAAATAGTGTACTCTTGAGAAGTATGAACCCATCTCCACCTCCCTAGCTATGGGTCATTGTTTTTTTTTTAAATTCACTCGTAAAAAATAGAATTATTACAATACAAAATATGTTTTGGCTTTAATTAACCCACAAAGGAGTGATAATCTGTGAAAAATAAATTAATCAACATGTTCATACAATTTTCTTTTTAAATTAGACTTAGAAAAGATTTACGTTTGTAACTACAAAGCCATGATTTTTAAGAGAAAAATGCTTCCTTTGTCAACACTTTGTTATGCTGTAAAATATCTTTTTACAAATTTTAATTAATTACCTTTCCTGATGATATTATAGAGGCCATTTTTTCTGCATCATCCAGGCTTAATTGTCTCTGTTTAACTCTTTCCATTATCCATAACTGTTCCTGGTTTGTTAAATTGTAAGTTTCAGACATTTTGAGTGGAGACTACACAGGTGAAACACTTATGTCTGCATGGAAACTTTGTAAAAGGTAGTTGGTGACCTAACGTGAAAACCCAATTTATTTATAGTCATGTGTTTTGCTCTAGTAATCTAGTCAAGCAGAAATTTTTTTACCTATTCTCACAGGCTTAAAAGTAAAATAGATAAACAAGTACTGTATTATAAATGAAAAATTGACTCTATATCCGTGACACATACTGTGTGTAATTTTGGGCAGCAACTTCTCTTTTATACATGTTTTATTGAATGTGACAAACAAGGAAAACCTTATAGGGTTTTTATTAAGTTTTAAAATAATTTTTTTGGGAAGGGAATATGAGAAGAGATAACATCCTCATTCTTATCCTGAATATTAACAAAAGTGCATACAAAAACAAAAGTATGTTTGTTTCTATAGTGGCATATCAACACCTTATGGGTCATTTAATGCAGATATTTAATTTTCTTGGGAACAGTAGTATCATAATTTCTCAAAAATAATACATATTTTTTTACTGTAAATTACAGGTGATAGTAGGGATGTGTATTATAAATAGGTTTAAACAAAAATATTTTTTTCATTATTGATTTACTAGCAGTAGAGCCCGGCGTTGCCTGGGGATGTAACAGTAAGCGATAGATCAAGTATCGACCATCATAAAGACTGAAAATTAAAATTGACCAAGATTATTGTTTAAGGTTGACAGACACGCATGTCTTAATTAGTTTTTTTTTTGTTTTGTTTTTTGATGGTTTTTTGTATTTTTGACGAATTGGTCAAACCCAAACTCAAACAAAAACATTGTTTTCAATCACTATGAGTCTACCAATTGAATAGAATTTTATTATAAACAATTGTCTTGCAAATGGAATTTTTAAAGCATTCTGAATGTAAAAATAAAGAAATAAGTGTGCAAGACAATAAGAAACACTACCTGCCAAAAAAAAAGTGAAGTTTTGTTGAAATTGGTTGAAAAATGTAGGAAATCCAATCCCATATATAAACGAACACAGACACACACACACAAACAACCTGGGTTTTATAATAAGTATAACTTGATATAAGTTGTCCCCCTTTCATTCTTGCGACAGCAATGGATCTTAATTGTGTTTTCAAATTGATTTCATGCAAAAACAATTGTGTTTTTCCAATTTTTGGCATTGTCAGAACCACCGGAAGGTAATTTTACGTAGTCCTGTGAAGTTTTGTTAAAATCGGTTGAAAAATGTAGGAATATATATATATATAAACGAACAGACACACA